TTAATTTGAAATCTCTGACAGGCTCCCGCACAGCGAAGCGTCGGCCTTGACGCGTTCCAAGGTCAAGTCTGAAAGAACGTTGCCAAGATCCTGTGGCAATGGAGACACCGCCTGCGCATCTGTCACTGGTTGTAAACACACTGCACTGCTGGCCAAGGAAACTGCATGGGCAAACGCGTGGCCTCAAACCATCTCTGTGTGAAGGGCTCCCGGAACTTTGTCTGTCAAGCGTTGCGTGACTCTGCTCTATTTTGTGGGCGTCATGGGTGGCCGGAGTGCCTGGTAGGAGTGAAGGAACACTCGTTTGGCCCAGTCACGGTCTGATTGCCTATCATGTTCGTGTTACTCTGCCACTGTGACAAGGCTGTGGACATGCTTGGTGGCCGGCGGTGCACCATACAAACAGTCACCAAGCAGCGGGTGGCCGATCTGCTCACAATGGAACCTGAATTCAGCACCACAAACACCAGCACATATGCGGACAATCGATTTATCTCCAAACTTCTTGCCTGGATCGGCTCTAAACAGCAGAGAAATCAGAGTAGTGTCACACACTGAGAAGAGCACCTGATCTGGTGCCTTCTGCCTCAGGAAGGGCAAAAGGGGGTATGACAATCCATATCGCTCTTGCCATGCTACCACGAGAGAACTGTCCACCGGCAACGATGAATACACAAAATCAAGGACCAGGAAACGGGAAGATAATGCAAGAGAGAAAAGAATTTCCAGGTGAGCCAGGAACGCATATTTGTGTTCGCTTCTTAATTCATATCCATGACCGTTGCACACACCTTATCCAAGAATAGTCTTTGTTGTAGCGAAGACAGAAGGAAAGTAATTGGGCAGGAATTGGCTTGGAGTGAGACAGCCGATGTATCAAGAAGCGTTCACAAACGCAGGCAAGGATCCATCCATCTGTAGTTTGCATCATTGCAGTTGCCAAACCCACGCTTCAACAAATCCAAGCCAAACCGCGAATCTTTGTTTTGGCATTTCAATGCAGCCAGCGCACCTGTGACAATCTGCAAGTGGAGCAGCGTGTACCTCATTCCACATGGATCTTGCAACTTTTGAAGCGGTTCAGTCAAGACCAACCAAGTTCCACGCTGATCGTTGTTCTTGTCACTGAACCAGGCTATGGGGTCGTAAAGAGTAACAGCAGATTGACGTCCGTTCTCTCCTGGAGCCAGCGAACGTCTCTCATACCCAGGCTTCCAAGGCAAGGCAGGCCAAAGTGAACTAAAGCGTACAAACAGTCTGCACCCCAGAATTGCGGAGCTGCGCTGGTGCCGGGCTACGAGCAATAGTCATGATTTAACCCGAGGAGTCGAGCTGGGCACCAAGCCACGCATGTGGCGGCTGATCAAATTTCCTGCTTCCAGAAAACGCAATTCTTCGTGAGAAAAGAAACTGATCTCTTGTTTGCAGAATGCAGTCTGAAGCCATTGCTGCTGCTGCCCACGCCGTTCATTTGTTCACTTGCCCTCGCAGGCTTGTCCTGGGCCCAATGTGCGGAACCTTGCAACAAGCTCCATGGGCTTTCGTCGATCTTTCGCGCAACTTGCTCCCAAATAGCCCGGCCCACGTTCTGCTTTGCGCCATTCCCAGCACAGGCAGGGAATCGAGGCTGCAAGTAAAGTGCTGCGCACCTCCCCGTCTTCAACAAAGTATGAAAGCGTACAAGCATGCCTCCAAAAGCTTTCGCTGAATCTTTTGTGAACATATGTCTTTTGCAGAGTCCTTCGCGGATCTTTCACGGACACAAACGCCTGCGGGCAAAGCTGCTCATCCGCGTAGGCCAGCAATCAAGGAAATCTGGTTTATTCGCTCAGACACGATTTCCACATATCAGGCAATTGGAGCATGAAGATCCCACTACCTTGCCTGCCTGCAAGCAGTGGGTGGATCGTTGACTGCGGGAAGGGGCTGAACAAATATTGCCGATGCGATTGGCTGTACTAAACACATGGGGGTTGATCAAAAGGCGCTTGTCAGGACTTACAGAGCTGTTTTGCGATTTCCCTGCCCTCCTTACACACCCTACGCACCGCTTGGAGCCCCTAGCATGGTGGGGCCTCTGCTTGATACACACCGTTGTGAATCAGATAATCGGGTGCCAGATTGCGCTGCTGGTACTGCCCTCATTTTGTGAACTATTGGCCCATTGGCTTATTTTGAACAAAGCTATAGGACAGCATTTGCAAGTTGCATTGTAAGGGCTGATATGTGAGCCTGCTGCCACGTCTGACTAGGACACCTTAGGAAACCGCGGGCGACGCTTGCTGAAAATATGCGTGACACAATCAGTCCTTGCTGCGGCCGCCCATCTTCGGAGTCTAGCACACCTCCGGGGTCCACGTGCACTCTTCGTAGGAGGGTGATGCGCCCTGTCTCGCCAAAAGGCATTGCAACATGCAGATTATGTTGGCCGACTACCTACCACCCCACGTGGGCATCCGCCAGTGAGCATCCGAAAGCAATTACGCCGCAAGGTGGTCACAGCTTGCCCTTTGGGCGTACGAGTACTGTGCTACATTCGCCGCTGACCCCTGCAACGTCATTTCCGCTGTACCTTTTCCTTTCTACTTGGGGAAATGATTCTGTTACACATTTCGATTTTAGGCACAAATACTTCGGCTGTTTCGGGCTGCGCTTATGTAAAGTGTTTCCCGTGGTTCTTTCCTTACGCTTGGGAAAATTGTGTCTTCGGACGTGACCACCAGCTCAAACGCACTCCAAACAACCAAAAAGCTGGGGCCTTGCCAATGCACTGGGGATACCGTTTCAAGTAGCCTGAAATTCGACTGCCTGACACTTTCTTTTGCGCACAATTGTTTGATGCAACTTGCGATCCACGGAGCATTTACAACATCCACTTGTAGCAATCCCAAACTCAATGGGCGAGCATCAAATGGTTTCTCGAAATAAAAACAAGGACCTGAAGCGGCGTGCTTTCTAAGGGGAGCTAATGTTAGCTTAACATGAAGACACTTTTTGACTTGTTGTGAAAGGATGTGTGGTTCACTGCCTGCGGGGAGCGGATTAGACGACCGCAGGAAGCTGCAGCAACATTACGCTCGGGGATGGTGTTTGTCCAGGAAGCGAACCATAACTGAAATGTACGGGACGCCTTCCAACATTCTCGCGAAGCTCGTGCAGCTTTTGGGAAAATGACGTCAGCTTTTGGAATTGTTGAAAGTAGCTCGAAACGAGAGCTGTGCCGCAAACGAAAGGTCAGGGTTCGCGCAGCTGCGTAGACGGCTTGTTGGAAACAAAAATGCTCAAGAACCAAAACTTCAAAAGCTGCTAGCGTTCTGCGACTCGGACGATTGTGTGTCAGCAACGTGCTGGACATACTCCTGTGAAGGCCAGACTCGAACACTGCGCACGAGGCAAAGAAGGGTCCATCACAATTGGGCAATGCAAACGCGTGCGGGGGAAAACAAAAAACAGAAATGAACAAAAACTGAGCAAACAACATGAATACAACAGGCAGATGCTGAACCTGCATGTCGCTGGAAAAAGAAAGGCACCATGCGCCAGGCCTGCCTTTGCCAGCCTTCTGACCTTTCCCTTTGCCTTTACTTCCGCCCTTCTCGTTCTTGCCCATACTGTCATAGTCCTTCCCATCGTCCCAGGCCACACTTCTGGAAGTTACCTGCGACTCTTCAAGAAATACACAAAACATGCCTCCTTGGACCCACCGGGTCGTAGAAAAGCGCAATCTCGACTCTGCCACGCCCTTAGTCAGTGCAAAAAGATCAGCTTCAACACCGTGCCAGTTCGCCGCTGAGCACCTCGCTTTGGGATGGAGGCCCACTGCATTCATGAATCCAGTCCTGACCCGAAAGTACAGCGCAGGCAAGAATGATTGCAATTTAGCACTGCCCATTGTAAAGAATGGGTCTACAGCAAAACAGGTCTAGCCACAGATTGCTGTAGTGGCACAAACGCAGTTGCCATTTAGATGTCCCGTTTCTGTAACAAAAACACTGCGAAAGGTTCTTCCGGCAAAATGACAGAGAAACTTCCACGGGGCATTTGCACAAGAGACATTGCACAGAGATTCTGCACAGGGAAAACTTGCCGTGCACAAGAAATATGAGAAGCCAAATTGCACAAGAACAATGGGAAAACAACATGCACTAATTATTGCACAGAGAACTGCGCAGGATAAATCGCGTGAGAGAAAGTGACATTCAACTGCATAAGATCAATTCTGACATTCAACTGCATAAGATAAATTCGGCAAGAAAAATACAGTAACACGCACTTGCACAGACCATTTACGCAGACAAGCCGCACAAGGGAAACTGCACAAGAGGAAATGTCATGAGACCGCATGCAAAGACTCTGCACACAAACAAATGCGCAAGCGATCGCGCGCAGCTAACTTGCATTAAACGCACGGAAAATCTGTGCAGAGAAGCAGCGCAAGAGACTTTGCGCAAGAGAACTAGCGCAGATGGTTTGCACAGAGAACCAGCCGCAAGAGAGACCAAAAGAGTATTCTCTGTGTGCAAATTATCTGCGCAATCTCTCTTGTGCGTATTTTCTGCCAATTTGGTCTCGCGCAGTTTCTCTGTGCAAATTGTCCGTGCAGGTGATCTTGTCATTTCGCTTGCCGAGTTTGCCGTGTGCAGTTGCTTTGTGCAAGCCATCTGCGCACGTTCTACTCTCGTTTTTCTGTACCCTGTCCAGTTTCTATATCTGCGCATGTTCTTTTGCCATTTCTCTTGCTCAATCTATCTTGCACAGTTTCTTTGCGCAACCTGACAGTCTTGTGCATTCTCCTGTTTAGCTTCTCTGTGCAACTGATCTGCGCACGCCTCGTCGTCATTTTCTCATTTTTGCCCAAACAGCGAAGCATTGAGATTCTAACTTGAGGCTTAAAGAACGGGAAAGTGTGATGCTGGCTCTGGGGGCACATTTTCCACTTGTCTTTCGGTTGTCTCTCCCGTAGTTTTTCTGTGTCTCCCAATCTCTCCACCCAGACGCCAGATGCCGTGACGCCGGCTGCCTCTCAGACGCTGTGACGCCCAGTCTTCCCTGAGTCGTCCTATATATTCGTTTTTGCGTCTTCCAGGCTGGTTCCGTCATCTTCCCACAGTCGGCGTGCCCATTTTTGTGCGTACGTGTGCGCGCGCGTGGCCGCACAGGACGCGCGCTTAGGCTCGCGGTCCGGGGCGCGCAAGGTGTCAAGGTACTTGCTCGCTTAGTCTTGTACTTTGCGGCAATCCTATTCTGGCGTGTTACTCTGCACTGTAAACTTGCGGGGTCTCATTATTTTGAGCCAAGCGGCATCCGATTGTTTTACTTGCTGCTTTGGCAAGTTCACCTAGCGGGAAGACGCAGGGCACAGGATGGAATGCGTGTGCATTCGCACACTTCTTGGTTGTGATGTGGCCCTCCTTACCACGTGCGAGCCCGAAGTAGTATTTCTCAGTTCCTCCTTCGTCCAAGCTGTGATCGCTTTGGAACTGCCTTGGTAAGCAGTCAAGCCGATCCCATGCGCTAACTGTTTGCAGTCCGTATCAGGAAGGAGCTTCAAAACAAAGGAGAAGTTTTGAAGGACTGTGTCCTCCAAGTGGTAGCCTCAGCCGGGCCCCGTACTTCCGGATTTCTTCAAAACCCTTCTTTGTCTTTGCAGCCACCATGACACCAGATGTTTCCTGCAAGGCTCAGGCGCGCTGATCATGCAGCATGCGTGAAGGAAAAGGTCCTTGTCAAGTCTGTTGCAGCATCCTGCCTGCATACAGGCGCCTTAGACAGATCTTCCATTTCTTAAGATTGGCCCTGGCCATGGCATGCTGCTCAAATGATTGCAAGTGGCTCTCATTGCTGGCTGGAAACACACTTCGCACAGTCCGCACAAGCAGGGCTGCATAGTCAGCTTCTTCTGCTCGACCTGCGTTGAAGTGCGAACAGGCAAACTGCAGGGCATATATTATTGCAAATGCCTGGAATATATACGCAACCCTGGGGAGTCGAGCGCCTCCTTCCAAAACTCACGAGTGCCAACAGCTGTCTCGTAGTTGAACTTGAGCGCCAGGTACTCGTGGATCTGTATTGCTGCCTCCACCAGCATGCGTGACTGCAGATTCATTGGCTGAGTGGCTGAGTGACATGAACAGGATCGATCACGGTCGATAAGCGTTGTTTGTTTGGGCATTGTTTGGGCTGCTCTTATTAGTCTAAACGCGCTGGACCTGCTTTAAGGCCCCCTCCCTCCCTCCCTCCCTCCCTCCCTCCCTCCCTCCCTCCCTCCCTCCCTCCCTCCCTCCCTCCCTCCCTCCCTCCCTCCCTCCCTCTGGAACAGCGCAACCATTGCCAAGACTTACTCTCAGATAGTATTGCCCATTCTAATCTTAGTAGTGCTAAGGCTTTGACCGTTGAGCTGGGAAGATCTTAGGAGGAGCCACACTTTAAAAGTAAATGGCAAAGGCTTTGATCTGGGAGTTCCCCCAAACCCCACAACAAAGTTAGACAATGATTTGAACCACAAAACAGTCAGATTAAAAAGATCAGGCATTCCCCTTTGCGCGACAGTTTGGCCTTACTTTGTTAAATAAAGCCTTCAATTTGATGGTTCGGGAGGATTTGTTTGCCCAGATTGTTTGTTGCCTGACTTTTTCCAAATTGTTCCCCTGCCCGGGCAGTTAATATTAAAGCAGGTGTCCCAAGGACACCTGACACTGTGAAGTCGAGGTGCACTTTAATAGCATGTTCTTGCCCTCGAATCCCAACTTGAGCCTAAGTGGACTTCCACTTGGTGTGCAGCAAGAACTCCAAGGCAGATCATGCTTTAGGGTGACTAGTGTTTGCAGCAGCCTATTTATCGTAGGAGTTGTGTATTTGGTGGCAAGCAAAAACATTTATTGAACGTTATTCAAAAAAGAAGAAGTGGCTATTGACGTTTCTGTAAAAGCTGTCCTGGCCTCTGCCGCGTTCAGCAGCTGCGTGGCTGTCTTTGCGCCAATCTGAGCTCAGCAGCAAGGAATCAGTCCCAAGATTGTCAATTCTGAACACGCGCCGTGCTCAACATGCATCATTCATGTAGTACCTAGCTCAGGTTAAGGGCTGCTTATTGTCTGCTTGAAGCATGTCTTTGCATCGAAGCTATCAGAAACCTCCTGAGGCGATTGCGACCTGCGGCAACAGTGCATTGGCATTTGCACCATATCCGCAGGTGAAATCCACCGGCTTGTCCACACACAGGATTTCATCCTGCATTGCTACGGTATCTGAGATGCAAAAGCATTGCTTTGCAGGAAGAACTTGACTGCCCACAGCAAGACAAAAGCCAAGGACCCGTCCGTTTCTCCAAGGAGCTTTGGAGGAAGATGCTTGGTGCGCACCACCCCCGTAAGGATGAAGTGGTGGTAATTTCGAAGAACCTGCAAATTGCAGTCCGGAAACAAAATCCATTTAGGGAGTTGAAGACAATGCCCTCACAAGCACTTTCAAGGGGTCGAGATTTAATTCAGGACTTGGTTTTGTAATTTTCACAATTGCTGTATCCTGCAGCATTTTCGGACAACATCCCCAGCACCGTGTTTTTGCATGCCCGGCAGCGTGTTCAATTCCCTCAGCATTCCCAGTTGGCTGTGATTCAGGCTGGGTTTAGAGTGGGTTCAAGGCTGGGCTCCGGGCTGAAGTTTGGGTAGGCTCAGGGTTTCTTTAGGGTGGGTTTAGTTTTTTGCTGGGTTTAGTTTGGGTTTCGGGTTGGTATAGGGTGGGCTTGCGGTTGGTTTGGGGTTGATTCAGAGTGGGTTTAGAGTTGGTTGAGCTTGGATTAGGGTGGGTTTAGTTTTGCTTTGGAGTTGGTTAGGGTTTCGGGCTGGGGTTGGATTAGGGCAGGTTTAGGGTTCGTATTGGTTGGGGGGGGGGGGGGGTAGGGTTGGTTTTGGACTGGGTTCGGGCAGGGATTGCTTACTGCTTGATTAGTTTGGGTGTGGGTTGGGTGAGTTTAAGGTGCATTTAGGATTGGCTTGGGGTGGTGTAGAGAGGTTTGGTTGGCTTAGGGATGGTTTGTCGCTGGTCCAGTGGGGATTTGTTTTAGGTCTCTGTGTGTTTCTTTCGGATGGGCTTAGGCTTGGTTTAGTTTTAGTGGGTGGTCCAAAAAGTGGGTTTGCGGGCTTTTCATCGCCGAACAACGGCCCTGTAAAGAAGCGGGGAAGTGGGGTGCAAATTTGACCAAGCTAAATGTCGAGTCGAATCATCTCAACAAAAGATGGAGATCCCCAATGGGAACACATTGAGAAAGCGCGGAGTTGACCCAAGGTGCTGCTTGTGATGTTGGGGGGCCCTGCTGGTGAACTCGCCAAGAGCCACAGAAGCCAAAAAGCCAGCCCGGAGAATGCAACCAAAACGAGACATTAGACACATCCTGCAAACATGGCCCTCCGCTTTAAGTTGACAACAATTATATGTCAGCATGCGCACAGGAGTTGCAAGACCTCGTTGGTATCTCAACAAGGAACTCACTGTGCTTCAGGTGAAGCACAGTTGTTGCTTGACAAGCTCGTACCTCCACCATTGTACATCATTTCTGTATCTACTTGGTTAAGTAGCATATGACACAGCAACAGTCGGTTTTTGAACAACATGCAACACAGCTGTGCATGGTTGCCTCTGCAACTTTGGCTTCTAGCACGTTCTTTACGCACCTGCCATTTCTTAGCGCGCGTGCTGCTCGGCCGGCCGAGATATTGCAGAAGTGTGTCCAACGTCCAAATGCGACAATGTCACTGGTCAAACAGTGTCAAACGTGCCAGGCAGACGGGTCAAAGAAGGCTGTGGGTGTAAATCTGATTCAGAAACTGTGCTTGCCCACTGCGTGCATCAAGACACATCCGATTCACAACAAAGAAAATGCTTCTGCAATGCAAGTCATTCGCTCTCTCCACAGCTACTGCCACAGCGCTATGGAACTGAGGAACAATGCGACAAACTTTCTAAGTCTACTGCACGTCAAAGTCAACGATGTCCTGCGAGTGCAAGCACACACAACATATCTGCAAGACTGACACTCTCATGGGATCCTTAAGCATGCCTTTGGCCTCAAGCCAAGCTTGCTTGCGCGAGCTTTCCAGGTCGGGCTGTATCTGTTTGTAGATTCTCTTGGCAGTACCTGCGCAGGCACAGATAGAAACCCACGTGGCTTGGATAGTGATATCATCAAATGCTGAGGCGCCGAAGACAAATTTGGCCAACTCATCTCGCGACGCAGCCCTGCCCTGGGAACGACTTGAACAGCGAGCTTGCGTGTGCGTGTGACATGGCCTGGAGGGATGTGGAGGGGCCGGGGCGGGACAGTCACTTAAAATCTAACAGCCGCAATCCTGTCAGGTGGGGAACACGATAAAGGCAATATGTCCGTTGGAAAGTAGAAGGACCCTGCTTGGACTGATCCCTTAAGAAGCAGTACCCCGTGGCAAGGACCAACCACTAGGCGCGGGGTGGGTTCCAACAAGAATGCGGGAACATCAATGAGTCTCGCCAGGAAGTATTTGAACTTGCCAGGATTGATCTCTTTTGAAGTTTGGATCTGCTTTGGACTCAGTGCAAGGTGAGCTAGCTGCTAGCTCGGGAATGAGTCACCTGTTGCCTGCGTCATCCCAATTCCTACATCCATTGCTTCCTTCCTACTTACACCACGCATAACGCACAAAAGCGCAATGGCAACAAATGGAACGTGATTCGAGCCTTGTGAGCCCAACTGACGTGCGAAACTGGTCAATGACTACAGAGCTACTTATTCATCTTCATCTGTGTCATGAATGGGTAACTACATATATAGATACATGTACACATTTATATACATACATCCGTCTGTGTGTTGCCCCCCCCCCCCCGATAAAACCCTCTTAACCCCTCAAAACACACAGGCACATACGTACAACCAAACAAACAAAACAGAAAACAAAACAGAACCAAACCACAATCAAACGACCCAAGTCAAGCAAGCAAAACAGACAAAAAAACACAAACAAAACAAACAAACAAACAAGCACGCAAACACACGAATAAACAAACAAACAGGCAAGCAGGCAAGCAAGCAAACAAGAACAAACAAGAACAAACAAGAACAAACAAGAACAAACAAGAACAAACAAGAACAAACAAGAACAAACAAGAACAACCAAGAACAAACAAACAAACAAACAATCAGTAAGTGAGTCAGACAATCAACCAATCAACCATTCAATCAATCAACAACATCAACCAAACAAGCAAACACACAAACACACAAACACACAAACCAAGGGAAAAAGAAACAAAGAAACACAGAAACACACAAACAAACAAACAAACAAACTTAACAAATCAAACTTAACAAATCAAACAGACTTAACAAACAAACAATCAATCAAAATTATCACTCAAAGAATCAACCAATCAAACCAATCAATCAATCAATCAATCAATCAATCAATCAATCAATCAAGCAATCAATCAACCAATCAACCAACCAATCAATAAATCAATAAATCAATCAATCAATCAGTCAATCAGTCAATCAATCAATCAATCAATCAATCAATCAATCAATCAATCAATCAATCAATCAATCAATCAATCAATCAATCAATCAATCAATCAATTCAAAATCAAAATCAACATCAACATCAAAATCGAACTCACATCAAAACAAATCAATCAAGGCAATCAATCAACCCAACAAGCAAACAAACAAACTTGAACACACAAACAAACAAACAAAAAAAAGAAACAAGCAAGCGAGCGAGCGAGCAAGCGAGCAAGCGAGCGAACAAGCGGGCACGCACACTTGGGAACTCTCCGCAGAAAAGTAGAATCCAACTTTGCCGCGCTGCCAAGATGCATCCAGCAAGGGGTAAAGACCCCCTGTCATTGAACGTTTAGGACCCATCACGAGACAGTAGATTGGCAGCTAGTGGCCCAGTCTGAAGAGTCTGTTCGAGGTGTGGGGCATGGTCCTACAGACAAGCTGGTCGCCGAAGTTGGGGGGAACACCTTAGCCTTGCGTAACACGGCTCACGCGGCCAAGACCTTTGCCAACAGGCTTGGCGCCGCACGCACGCTGTCCAAGTTTGGAGGCATGTTTGGGAGGCATCCGGACTCTTCCAAACAAATCTTGGCCCCAAAGCTTGCAATCCAAAAGCCTCAGAGCGCTTGAAAGCTCCTGAGGGCCAAGAACCGAGGTTACACAGAACTCTCTCTGCAGAATGTTGGCGCCGAGCTCCGCAAACTGTTCTTGGTGGAAGACCCTTTCCACGATGGGCTGCAGGCAGGATCAAATTGCGGCTTCGCGAAATGCCAAGCGCGTTTCCTTTCCAAATCGCTCGAGCGCCTCGCGGCTGAGCAAACTCCGCAGGCGTTATTTCAACGGCGCGCTCTAGCTGCAGCTCCGCAAGTTCTGCGCGCGATGCACCGCCATGCTTGCAATTGCCTTAGAGTTCTTACCAGAGATCTACAGACCTTTGCTCAGGAAGCTGATGGCTACGCTGAGGACCTTTGCACCTCCGAATTCTTCGCTGCGCTGAGTGCACCTGGCTGCTATATTTATTGCTGAGCTCTTCGCATTGAAGTTATGAAAGCCAGGAAGCCTGAGCAAGGCGTGTTGTGGAAAAGGAAAAACACAACATGCTCCAATCTTGAGAAAACATGTTGGAAGCGCAGTTCGGGAATGCTACAGAAATGATCCTTTGAGTTCGGCGGCACCTGGCGACTAACCCAGGAGTTTCGCCAGGCAATTTTGGGAGCACTTTCCATGCTGCAATTTTGCGCATTCCCAAAATGTGGAAAATGAAGAAAAGCCTTGAGAACATGCTCCAACATGCTCCTTGGAGTGGTTCGCGCCCGCACTTTTCCAAGCTCATGTCTTTGGGAAAAGCACTCAATTCCGACTGCGAGATTAGACTTGCGGCCCCTCCCCCTCGCAGTCAAGCTGGGGCCACCCTCAGCACCAGACTAGAGCCCAACAAGGCAGCAGCGGAACTTCTCTAGAAAATCTGCACAGGAAGCTGCCAGAATGCTTTTCGAGGTCCGAAGCGAGAAAAATGAATTTCAGACTGCGACATTCGTTTTTTAGCGCTCATTTGCAATATCTGTTGAGGGAAATCTGAAGGGCTGAATATGACGCGAAGTTTGGACCGCGAATTTCGTGGGCCGCAGATCTGCTGCAGGAATCTATCGTTTTCAGCTCTCAGTACAAGAGCAGTTTGGCAGCTCAGCTTGTACATCCCAACTGAAAAGCACCATTTTAGTACACAAGCGCCCCCAGCTCAAGCAAAACAGCACACCCTTCTGCAAGACGTCCGCTCGCTCTTGCGCGGTCTTCCGCGACCACATCGCCGTAACAACAATTTCGTGTTCAGTCCTTACAGGACAAGCCATTGCAGGGGCATTCTGGTCAATCCTCCGGCCTATTGTTGCTCACTTCCCTTCTTCCAATGCACGGCTAATGATAGAATACAAGGTCTATTGTATATATATATATATATATGTATATATCATATGCAAGAGTATATAAATATGTGTATATGTAATGTAGGTGACTGGAAACGGCAAATCTTGACCGCTGCTCGTTTGCCAGTGACCAGCAGCCAGCCTCGTCCACAAAGGTCTGAATAAGTGAGCATCTTTCCTCGTGGGAAGCAAGGAATGTCCAATTTTCTACTTGGTTCTGTCTGGCGCTTTGGGTTTGGCCATGACGTGTTAACTCGTGTGCAACTAGCTTTGACTATGGGACTCCCAGCGCCTCCACGATATCTGCAAGCTCTCGGGTGAAGTCAGACACGAGCTTCGCCACAGTCATCCTGGATCAACACCTGTTAGGTCCGCAGGAAGCAACACCCCCATGGCGAGGTCGAGTGACCGTCAAGTAATGGAATGGTTCTCCATTCTTTTGTCTGGCTAGAATTGCCCCGCCCTATTTCCATGCAAGCGGGCTTCCAAAGCCTTTAAGATTTTATCTGCTGGCGCTCTGCCTTTAGAATCCGCCATGTTCATGACACGCTTGGTATGGAAGGCGTCTCACAAGAATGCAGCCCTTCACGCTTGTCATATCGATCGGAACCCACACTGCTCTGCCAATAAAGAATGCCACTACCAGGGATTGCGCATGCAGCGTCAGTGATAACTCAATTTTGAACAAGCTGAGCCAAAGCAAATGGCAGCGCAAGAATGCTGAATAAATGCGAATAGGCACAGGATTGAGACATACCTCTCGCCTCGCGCTGCATGCTGCCTGTCGCACAAGCTTGATGTTAAAGCCATGCCATTCAGTCTTTGAGCAGTTGTTTTGGAATCGCCCCTAATTATGAGGGGAGCGTGTAAATGCCAGGGCTTTTGTTGGGGGGGGGGGGGGTTCGGGGGGGTTTGGGGGGGTTTGGGGGGGTTTGGGGGGCTGGGGGGGTTGGGAAGGGTTGGGAAGGGTTGGGAAGGGTTGGGAAGGGTTGGGAAGGGTTGGGAAGGGTTGGGAAGGGTTGGGAAGGGTTGGGAAGGGTTGGGAAGGGTTGGGAAGGGTTGGGAAGGGTTGGGAAGGGTTGGGGGAGGCGGGGCAAATGATAGCGTCCTCATCTTGCCAAGCTTCACTGTCAGGTGCAGTCTATTAGGGTCATGTCAGAAGGTAGTCCCCTTCCGGACCATGGATTCGCCCGGATTCACAGCACTTCGCTGAGCTGCAGAGACTGGTGGACTTGTGCAGTTCTTTGCAGAGTGCCAGTAAAGTGTTTCTTGAAGTGAGCCACCGGGCCCAGCAGCAGTTTGTTTGCTTGCTGGCACATAGACAGCGGATCAGCGCCGAAGACTCCAAAGCTGGATCCCGAAAAGCGTGCGCTCCATGCGCCACGGTGGCAGTGTCAAACAATGCATGGGCAGATCGATTACATTAACAAGTTGGGTCTACGGAGCTGCGAAGTGTGCAAAAAACAGAGTTTCAGCGGTGCGCACGTGTGGGAAAACCCACAAACCCGTTTCAAGCGTGCAGGAAATCACTGGTTAAACCCAGGCCCCTTGAGTGGGGGCGCATTTTTGGTATCCGGTGGCACCTCTCGCCGAGGATGTTTTTCTATCCCAACAGTGATTTTTGTCTAGAGTAGTTTCAGTCTACGGTTGCTTTATGCTGGTTCGGGGGGGGCTTTAGTCTTGGTTTTTAGGGTTGGTTTACAGCGTTTTGAGACAAAATGATCAAAGAAGAATAAGCGCGCCAAACAAAATGCATGTGAGCTCTGTTGGAAACCCCCAATTTTCCTTATACCCACGATATGATGTGGTCAGTCTCATGCGGGGCGGCCTCATTTTGTTGACATCCTTGTAAGAAACAACGCTTGCAACAACAACTATTGCAAGTAAGCATTGGCAACTCCGGCTCGAAAGTCGCAACTTTTCAGTACAAGTGTAGCAAAGGAGACACACTTTGGCAGCTCCGGCTGGAAAGTCGCAATTTTTCAACACGAGTGTAGTAAAGGAAATGCACTCTGGCAGCTCCGGCTCGAAACTCGCAACTGTTCAGCACAAGTGTAGTAAAGGAAACGCACTTTGGCAGCTCCGGCTCGAAGGTCGCAACTTGTCAGTACAAGTGTAGTAAGGGAAGTACACTTCGGCAGCTCCGGCTCGAAAGTCGCAACTTTTCAGTACAAGTGTAGCAAAGGAAATGCACTTTTCGCAGTTCCGGCTCGAAAGTCGGCACAAGTGTAGGTAAAGGAAGTACACTTTTGCAGCTCCGGCTCGAACGTCGCAACTGACAAGTACGAGTATTTAGGAACGGAAATGCAGCGCTTTGGCAGCACTCGAAAGTCACAACTTTTCAGTACAAGTGTATATGATACAGGAAATACACTTTGGCAGCTCCGTCTCGAAAGTCGCAACTTATCCGTACAAGTGTAGCAAAGGAAATGCACTTCGGCAGCTCCGGCTCGAATGTCGCAACTTTGCAGTACAAGTGTAGTAAAGGAAAGACACTTTGGCAGCTCCTGCTGAAAGTCGCAACTTTTCAGTACAAGTGTAGTACAGGAAATACACTTTGGGGAACTACCTGCATTTGCTGGGTGGGACAAGCAAGTGGATGTCGTTCTGATGTCGTTCTGATGTCATTCTGGCTCGGCATGAACCGTGGGAAAAAACTGCAGGATGTACAGACAACGGCATCTTGCAAGGCAACATGTCAAACATGCACGGGCAAGCGTGCGCAGGCAACGCGGCCATCAAACTCCGGCTGGAAAGTTGCAACTTTTCAGTACAGGCGTAGTAGGCAGCTCCGCCTAGAAAGTCGCAACTTTCCAGTACAAGCGTAGTACGCGAAGTGTGCTCCTCAGCTCCGGCTGGAAAGTCGCAACTTTTAAGTACCTAGAGCACCCAAACCCTGAAAAAAGGCAGGGTGTGCGCAATTACCGGGGTGGAAAAGTCGCAACCTTTCAGCACAAGTGTAGTACGCGAAGTGCGCTCCGGCAGCTCCGGCTGGAAAAGTCGCAACCTCTCAGCACAAGTGTAGTACGCGAAGCGCGCTCCGGCAGCTCTGGCTGGAAAGTCGCAACTTTTCAGTACAAGCGTAGTACGCCAAGTAGGCTCCGTCAGCTCCGGCTGGAAAGCCGCAACTTTTCAATACAAGCGTAGCGCGCAAACTCCGCTCCGGCAGCTCCGGCTGGAAAGTCGCAACTTGTTCGGAAATGCGTAGCACGCAAAGTATGAAGAAGGGATTACTGCCGCTGGGATGTTGTTTCAAAACAAATAACCCTTTGTGGTTTTAGCGTTTTGGGATGCTCGATTGCCTTGTTGGAGCTGGTTCGGATTTTCATAGGGTTAGGTATAGATTTCGTGGCCAGCACTACATGTTCGTAACGTTATATAAAGGGTTGGCAGGTGGTGTTTTGGTTTGGTTTAGGCTTGGCTTAGGGTGGTTTAGGGTCGGCTTAAGGTTCATTCAGGGTTGGTTTAGGCTCTTTCTTTCTTTTTTTCGTGCGGTTGGCTTAGGATTGGTTTGGTGTGGCTGTAGTTTTGGTCTAGGGTTGCTTTAGGGTGGTCGTTCTAGCGTTGGTTTGGGGATCGTTTAGGGTCCTTAGGGTTGGTTAGCCTTATTTTATTAAAGGCTTGCTCTAGGGTTGGTTGAGGGTGGCTGAGGGTTGGTTTCGAATTGGATTCGGGTTGGCTCAGGGTGGCTTAGGCTTGGTTTAGGGTTGTTTTAAGAGCTGGTTTCGGGTGGGGTTAGGCTTCCTTTCGGGGTTGGCCTAGGCGGTTATTTAGGGTTGGTTTACGATTGCTTGCTTGCTTGCTTGCCTGCTTGCCTGCTTGCGTGCTTGCTTGCTTGCTTGCTTGCTGCTTGTTTGCTGGTTCCCTTGCTTGCCGGAACGCAGTGGACAAATCCCCATTGAGGTAGACCAAAAATAAAGTAAAACTAGCTCACCACTTTTCCTGGTAGCCTGCCTGTTGAGATGCAGGGCGCTGCGCATCGCAGCACTAAACACCGATGCTCTTGACAGCTTCTGACAACATGGTGTCTGCTATGCTGTATGCATAGCATCTTACACCTTGACTATGTGCAGAAGCAAGTATTTCCTGCGTCTGAGTTGCGATGCTTCATTTCACAACTCCAATTTGCTGCTTGGGTCATGCCGCTGCATGCTGAGGAGATAATGCCTCCTGTCAACGGTGCTTAAACCGGCCCTTGTCATTGACAAAGGACCCGCAGGCTCGACAGGGCTCTGCCCAGCTGCGATTCAGGCAAAGCGGGGCCGTCATGCCCTCTGTGGCTTCCTTCCTGGCTGAGCGCCCTGATTCCATCCTCAGATCTTTCAAGAGCATTGCCAGGCTGACGCGGCTGCAGGTGTGTCAAAATCACATGTAAAGAACTACAGAATCAAATAAGCTTGTCACCCCCCCTTCCTTCCAAATCAACCTTCACTTGCTCGGGCTTTGACTGTAGCGCATGCTACCCGTGTCCCAAGTCAACCTCTCAGCAGCGTGCTGGACAGCAATGACTCAATTCTCCTCATGGTCTTCATGTCCCGACTGCCATTTTCAACATCCGCCTCGGTGCAGCATGCGGTAGAGCGCAGAATGTAATTGCAGGCGGTGCCTGCTGCACCACTGAGAATACGGGCAGTTGCAGAGAGTCGCCAGCTTTGTGACCTCAGGCCAACGGCCGCTCCCGCGAAATCCGCACGAACGATTGTGGAATGTCACCAATTAAAGGAGTCACACCTGACTGGAACCTGAGTTTGACTGCCTGCTTGTAACACTGCACTTTTTGCCACGGCTGTGCGAGCGTGTCAAGTGCCCCGCTGGTCATCACCCTGAAACAAAGCACGCAGGAACCATGGAAAGATCTGAAATTGTACCGTGCTGATGAACAAACAGTGGCGGAGCATTTGAGAGCTCAAGGATTCAGGGTTCGGTGCCTGCGAAAGCCAGCGACTGGCTTGTTCCTGCAGCACACAGCGTGCATGAGGGCGCTGAGCCAAGATGTCTCAAATGCAACTCCTGAAGCTTGGAGTTTCGTTCTCGATCCAGAACATCCAGCCTTGGCAGGTGCCGAAACTAACAACACATCACATCTCTCGCTCTGTTGACATCATGCGTCCGCTGCTTCTTCAAACAGAAGGAATTTCTGTAAGACAGTCATGATTCGTAGTTTTACCATGATGGAGACTGACACGAAGCTTGGCCACGGCCACGCGGCCTGTTGGAGACAGCTTGCCTTTCACAGCCAGCTTCTATCATAATGTCCAGGTACTCTCCTTCAAGGCTCTGAGCACATTTAGCCGGCACACCCATCTTAAGCAAAGCAGCTTTCACATTGGCATAAAGAATGTGGGCCAAAGCAGACCTCGAATCTGCTCCCAACGCTTCTCCAATTCCCCCTGGCTCACCTGCAGCTCAAGTTTCGTCATGACACGCACCACTTAGTCATGAGTCTAGGAATGCTACAGATCTCAGCACATAGTTTTTGACGTAGCCACGCGCCTGTCACGACTCATGTCGCGACATGAAAGCGTTTATTTTTTTGGAACAGCTTGCCTTGTGCAGGCGCTGTAAAGCCTTCCATTGAGGCGAGAGTCGCGAGCTGTAACCCTGTGAACATCTGGCTAATGTTTGGACCCGCTCCTGAAGGCCAGCGTCCAGCTGTGATGCCACCAAGTAAGCCTAGGCGACTTTCCGCCATATCGTTACAGTCATATGGCTAAAGCACATCTTGTCGACAGTTCACCGACGATTACACGTATCATACCAAATAGTACTGAGGGCCAGGCTGGTGTGCGCAGCGGTGATTTCATCCAAAGCACACGCAAGCCAACGATGAATTTCAAACCTTCAGCGGAAGGCAAGCCCAGCAAGCCCAGCACGGTACTAGCAAGGTAGCTCTGTGTCTGGTATGACTGGCGAATTACACAGGCGGTGTCTGAGCGCCGATCCCATATCATCTGGATCCATGCGGAAGTCGAAAAAGGTTGAGCGTAGAGCATCTCGAAACCTCAGATAGATAATTACGTACGTCTATGTGGTACATTGAAGCTACACTCGGCTCTTGTCTCTCTCTCGCTCTCCCTCTCTTTCGGCTGTGTCTGCTTGGTTATATCACAGCCTGTATGAAAGTCCGAACAGGCTGACACAGGCAGCTGTCACTAGGTGCGAGGCCTGGAGTCCAGGCTCCCAGTTCCTAGAAGAGTCCGCTTCTTGATGACCTCGCCAAACAAATCAAAGCTTGGAGCCTTGGAGCTCAAATCCTGGCAAGCCGCCACCAGCACGGCATGGAAGTTGAGAGCTGCCTGTCACAAGGTCTTTCGTGGGTGAGCTATCACTGACTTGATGGGCCTCCAAGCTGCAAACAGTGCGTGTAATCAATCGCAAGCCATCACCAACTGCAGCCGATGCCAAGTAGTAGCGATACCTTGACACGGCAATCTCATGGCAGGACATGTTTGTGCGGCTCTCAACCAGAAAACTGGCTGAAGCTAGGAACACTGCTTGCGATTTCGAGTCACACGCCTTGCAAGTGCTTTGGCATTGACAAACTTGCCCAATTTGCAATGGCTCAAGGCTAGAAAGCAAGCCGGCGCCACACCACGCTTTGCACCCGCTTGCGGAGGCAAACATTCTGCAGAGTCCTCCAATCCAGTCAATGCATGATATATATATATATATATTTATTTATTTATTTATTTATTATGAAGCACAATGCAAAAGGAACGCCTTGATCTCTTCAGGGGCGATGCCTGCAAGCCAAATTATCTTGAATCAAATGCATTTAGGGCTCACCTGCCTCCTTCTCCACAGTCATGCTTTTTGGTTGCTTTGCCAGCATCCACCTTGCGAACCAAAACGTGCACCGGATGCCAAACGGAAAACACTCCTGCCTTTCAAGCAAAAGACGCTGTTGTTGCGAAAATGTTTGCCTTAAAGACATGTCACAATGTGCAGCGCTCTTTTCACGTGAAAAGGAAACCAGGCCGCGTGCAAGACAGATCGTCGTTTTGAAGGTGGAAGGCGGCAAAGGAGTTTGCACAGGCGCGGCCTTGGGGACATGGCCATGCGTGCAATGCGTTTCACAAGCCGTTTCCTTTCCTGAAGTCTGCCCCATCCCTCTGAGACCCAGGCAGCATAGAAGGCTCGCTAGGCTTGCTGGCCGGTGTCACAGCATCTTTGCGGCCCAGTTTGCTTCTGAGAGGCACAAGCACCTCGCGTCCTTGCTGAGCCTGACTATGCCTGAGAAAGGGATCCCAATTTCCTCCGCAGTACGAGCCTATGAGCCGGGCCTATGCAAGCTGCCGGGCTCGCAAAGCGTCTCAAAGGCATGCATGACCTGACAGCTAGAAACAAGTAAGTCTGCCTGGAACAAGCCTTCCTGCCACCTTCTGAAGCTGGAGATCAGTGCCTGCCACGGAATTGATGGGCTGCTGCTCTCTATGGGCAGCTTCTGTCGAGAAACACAGCCACTTGTGCACGCACACGCGCGACCCACGTCGCGAAAAGCGAGAAGCAAGTCCAAATGAAAAAGGTGCGGTCAAACAGTGCAAGAA